GGACTACTGTATTGCAAACACCCATGCTTTTAAAACCTATAGTTTGTATTTTGAGTATTTTAGGTAATATGACAGGAAAGGATCTGCTCCGACTAATAAAATGCACCTCATGTGTCAGTATCCTTTACTGTCTATAATTTTTTTTTAACGTGACTGAAAAATTATTATTATTAAATTATTACCAAGAAAACTGGCTTTTGAAATGGATTCATCAATCAATGTGAAATAATCTTGTTTCCAATGATGTCGTGTAAACTCCCCTACTTTAAATCTAAAAGCTTTAACAACCAGTCACTTTGTAAAGTAACCGAGCACCAAACTTCCTGGTTTGTGTGTGGTCATAAAGCTAAATGCATTAAGCAACGTCTCAAAAACATTGCAATGTACACGAGTTTATTTCGTTTGATGCCAGCTGCCGTGGAAAAATAAGCTGACAGGTTGCTGATTTACTGTGCATCAGCAAACGAGCATTCAAGCAACTTCAACCTTCACGTACAGAGAAAATATAAAATGTTGACAATGGAAAAGCAAACTCTCCTGTGACTTCCACCTTCACTAACATCGCATGTATCAGTGGATCACGCAGGCAGTATTCTGTGTTCTATTATGTAAAACATAACTAAAGCCGAGGTTATGCTCAATTAAATCAGGTGCAATTACTGCGATTCTGCGCAAAAGCTGCTGCAGTTAAAATGAATTACACAGTATAACCAGAATATGCACTACAATAAACAAATGCTCTGCAAGTTAATTAGTCAATTGCTCAACACGATGGGTTTTGACTCAGAATAATCAAACTGCGGTTGCCAAGCGACAAATCCAACTTCTTCCAGTCTGCCAGGCGATCGCCGATTCCTCAAAAACACCAAAATAACTCCATCAAACGAGGCGGCGTGCAGATTTAGATTCAAGCATCCATAGATGCAATTTATTTTCGCACTACGAGTCTATTACCTCGACCCTGTTATTTCCCCCTCGTTTTGCACCGCCTGGAGCAATGAGAGACATTTGTGTGTGTCTGAAGTATCTGTTTAAAACGACACTCATCGCAAACTATGAAACCAAATATATATTTATATATTTTATCCTGAACTGTATCAAATGGTGCAATTTGAAAGTTTACTCAAGGTAAACTGATACGCAGTTCTGAAATGTGGGTCCACACTCAACGTAAACAAAGAATTCAGCTGCTTACTTTACTCAAACCTCTCCATTTCTAATGGACGTCACCATTATTGACTTATTTTCAGTCACTTCGGCTGTTTTTGTTGGTAAACAAATGCACGTCCTAGCTGGCAGCCGTTAGCCATTTTTGCTTACAAATGTTTCATTCAAGGACACATTAACATTTGATTTAAGAAAATAAAATGTGCAGATTTTGTTTTTTTACCTTATATTCTTTTTTTTTTTAACCAACCTTCGTGACATTGCGATGAGTACCTTTAAGGTTTGCAGCACTATTCGGCTTCATGAGAGCTAATAAACAAAATGCTAAAGGAGTAAACGAATAAACGAAGCAAGAGTTATCAGAGAAAACTACCGTATTTTTCGGACTATAAGGCGCACTGGATTATAAGGCTCACTGTTGATTTTTGAGAAAATTAAAGGATTTTAAGTGCGCCTTATAGTCCGAAAAATATGGTAAGCTTTAATTTGTCTGCACGTCTGGACATTATACGTGTCTGTGTTGACAAACGCTTCACTTCACCACTCCTCCTGTCAGAACATCTCCACAGCTCGACCCCGGTGTCCTCGGCTCATATGCAGAGAAAAGCTTTTTCTCATCTGCCTATTAATGTTTATAGGTTGCTGTAGCCTTTACACCTTTACTTACAGCCTTTACTTGGTTTGGCTCTTTGGTGTCAGAGACCTGAACAGTGTTTGTACCTGAACTTGTGTTGGAAGACTCTGAAAATCGACGCCCACTCCATTATTTATTTGTGCTTGCAGAACATGTGCACAGAAACTGATATATAGGCCAAAGACTGGTAAAAACAATTTCAACCATTTCATCCTGTTTTTTTTTTGGTTTTTTTTTGCAATTTATTTCCTAGAAAATTCTCTAGCTTTTGATTTCCTATTTTAATTCATTTTATGGAAAGTTCCTAATCATTTTTTTTAAACTCAAATAATGATTAATGCTTGTATTCAAGCTGGAATGTTTGTTATGAATCTCTTAATATCTCTACCACAATTCTTTCTTTCTTTTTTTAAATTATTGTTTCAGCTGATGCCTGGACATACCTGCACTGTTAAAGCCACAGCCCAGGAAGAAACCTCGGACCTCAGGAGCTTCTCCCATCAGTGGCTTATGGTCGGCTGTGAAAGATTCTGGAAACAAAAATGGACAAAATATGTAAAAGTTGTAGCAAAATAAAAACAAAAACATTTCATCAAAATACAATTTTATGTATCAAACTGTGTCATCTTTGTTTTATTTTACCCATTTTCACCAAGAAAAAGAAATCCAAATTGGATTCTTGAGGCAGTCAGTTGGAAACAAAATGTCGAAATATTCAATTTAAAATAGTTTGTGTGTCGACACTGAATTTCCACGTATTTTGGTGCCTGAAAGACTCATTGGACTGACTTAAATGTCTAAACAAATAAACAAATATTTGAAAATGGTCAATTACTCGACAGAAAATTTGTTAAAAAGCAACAAAAAGTCCAAAAAATATATACTTTAAAGGACCTCCAGAAAGCCTGAAGCATTTCTGATCGAGACTATTTGAAAAGATTAAAACTTTCTGCTCCCTGGATGCAAAACATAAAGACATGAAGAATGACTCAATGGGTTTTTGTACAAAGTGATTACAGTAAATACATCTCTGAATGCTCCAAACTATTAACATTCAGACAGCTTAATTTTATGCATCCCAAACTTACACTTCCAGTCCATAAAAATAATAGCAATCCAACTATTACCACTTCTGGTGTCCAAACATTGCTAATAATTTTATTTAAAACAGGACTTTAAGAACACAAACACCCAAAACTGTCATGATCAGCGGCCTCCGCTGGCCCCCAATCTGTTCACGTCTCTGCCCCTTCATGACATGCCATGATTTTGCTCACTCCTGCCATCGTTTCTGTTCCCCTGCTTTGTGTTGCCCATCACCCACTTCTCAGCTCAAGTCTGCTCCTGTCACTCCATGCCACGCCTCCCTTGCTCCTCCATAGCAATTGGCCCTTATTCTGCACACCTGTTCAACTCACTATTTAAGCTCCTGTCTCTCACTCAGTTGTTGTCAGATTATCAAACCCTTAGGATTTTGGGAAACCTTTGGGATTAACCACTCTCCCTGCCCCTCGTCTGATTCTGCTCTGCTCACCTGACCCTGGTATGACTACATTTTCTGCCTCACAGATATTGAAATAAGGATCACCCTTTGGACTTGTGATTGGAGCTCTGACTCCTCGCGCTTGACCCCTGCTTCGCCT